TCCCTTAGTGGTTTAGTTGTCTGAGTCAGTTATTATTGCTATGTAATAAGTCACCCCAAACTTAGCAGCATGAAAAAAACTCATTTTATTATGCTCTTAGATTCTGTGGATCAGTAATTCACTATAAGCAAGGAGGGACAGCTCTTCTTTGCTCTATGATGTCTGGCTCCTCAGCTAGGAAGACTCAGATGAGTAGGAATGACTTTAATAGATGATGTCTGGAATAGCTGGGACTAGAGGATGTAGTTTCAAAATGACATCTCACTCACCTGTCTGGCACCTGGGCTGGAACAGCTAACAGCTGGGTTTAGCTGGGACCATTGACCAGAACACCTACACAGGGCCTCTTCACGAGGCTTGGCTGTTCAGAGCCTGGTGATTGGGTTCTGAGAGGGAAGGCCCCAAAGAGGGCCTTCCAGAAGGCGAGTGTTCCAAGAGAAACAAGTGCAAGTTTCATGGCCTTTTCTCGTAGCCTCAGAAATCATGCAGTACCATTGTATTAGTAACAAGTGAGTCATAAGGTCAGCCCCAGACTCAAGGGGACGAGATTGAGACTCCACTTGTTAATGGGGCAGTGGTAAGGTTACACTGGAAGAGAGCATGAGGGATGGGAGAGATTGCTGCAGCCATCTTTGGAAAATACAGTCTGTCAGCAACCATTTGTTATCGCTATCGACAGTACCTTCTCCCTCTAGGATTCCCACGTACTTAGTGTCCAGTTTCAGTTCTAAAATGGCAAAACAAATAAACTCTCTTTTAAAAATTAAATGTAAAATCAGAATATGCAGTCATTTGGGTGAGGCCTAAGGGTTTTCTTATGAATGGAGTGACTGAGTTTTAATACACTGACCTGATGGTAGCTAGCCTGGCTGCTATGAGGCTATGAGGGGGTGCAGCAAGAAGGTGGCTGTCTACAAGCCAGCGAGAAAGACCTGGGAAGAAACCAGACCTGTCGACACCTTGATCTTGGACTTCCAGCCTCCAGAACTGTGAGAAAATAAGTTTTTGTTATTTAAGCCCCTCAGTCTGTAGTATTTTGTATGGCAGCCCTAGATTACTGATATACTGGATAACTGACTTCTCAGAGGATATGGTCTTAGTCCTACTGCCCCACCACGTATGCTCATCTATGCTCTCTTTGCTCTACCCAGATATTTCCATGTTTCTATGTCGTCACTCACGCTATCCCTCCTATCTAAAAGGTTCTTTGCTTCTTGTCTGGGCTTATAAACTCATTTCTCAAGGCTCAACTCAGATGCCATCTTCTCTGTGTTTTACCTAACCAACCATCTAGACAGAATTAGCCACTCGATCCCTGTGCACATACCTTAATTTATCATTTTTAATATTGAGTGATAATTAGTCATCTCTGATCCCCTCTCCCCTGCCATAGAATAAGTGGTTGAGGGGAGGGACTGCATCCCAATTCCCCCGATTTCTGGTACAGTGCCTGACATTTAGTAGGTGCTCAATACATGTTTGTTGATTTAATACATTGCACTAGAAACACATAAAATTTAAGACCTGGAAGACACCTTAATGATGATCTAATCTAGACTTTCATTTTATAATTGAATAAAAGGTTGTTTCAGACAGATATTCCAAAGGAAATCACAACCACACTTCCAGTTAGTACAAAAAACATCCTGAAAGTTGATAATTTTAGGGAGGATTGAACAATTGAAAAGGCATGAGCTCATAGAGCTGAGAAGGGGAATGTGTTCCAGACATTGGGTGGGGCATCAGGAAGGTTTGGAGACAGAGGAGGATGGCTGAATAAAGTGAGTACCAAGTTAATGCGTGCACATTTAAAATGCATTATTGTGATTTGGAAGGTCTGTACACAAATCTTCAAAGAAACTACACATTATATTTTATTATTTTTATTATCTGTATCTCCTAATTTTCCCTATTTCGTTTTTGATGCATAGGTTGTTAGTGACACAAGTCAGAACTTTATTTAAATTGTAGATTCCTTTATTTACTGAGTAAAGCAGTTAGAATTGTGCTGTGTGTAACTGCAGATAAATTAAAATAATAAAAGCACATTTTCCCCTCATCTCAGTTTTCCCACCCAATCAAACCTAAGGTAAGAGCAAAGATCTTAAGCACCTCCTTTCAGTTCATTTTCCTCCTGGTAAACTTCCAAGGATAGGCAGGGCTGCCATCTTTCATCCCTCATCCATCTTCCCTCAGAAATACTCTCTATTCATTGTGGTGCCTGGGTCGCTCAGTTGGTTACACTGCTGACTCTTGATTTCGGCTCAGGTCATGATCTCAGGGTCGTGAGATTGATTCCCATGTTGGGTCCCATGCTGAGAGTGGAGTCTGCTTGAGGATTCTCTCTCTCCCCCTGCCCCTCCCCCCGCTCTCTCTCTAAAATAAATAAATAAATCTTAAAAAAAAAAAAAAGAAAAGAAATACTTTCCATTAAGTCCTCAGGGGAAAATGCTAAGGGTTGTGAGGGTATGATTTCTTTCTTGTCTGCTAAAACATACTGGCAGTTTGGACTCCAAGCAATAACATGTGAAAGGGCCTGTTTGCATCTGTTTCTTAAAATGGTCTTTGTGTCTAAAGAGACAAACAAGACAATAACAACAATAACAAAATAGCAGAAAAGGCACAAAAGAAGCCTAAAATCCCATGCTTTCATTATGGAGATAAAGATGATACGTTACCAACACATAAACAACAACGCAGGGATTGTTTTGAGACTTCAGTCAGATGATATTCTAAAGAGCTCAGTTCACTGCCTGGCACTTCCTGTGTGAGTGCGCACAAAGCTGTGAACCGTTAGCTGTGAATATCGGCAGGAAGTTCCATGTGGCAGCATCACTTGCCCAGTGTGCATGTGAACTTGGGATAATTACTTACCTTCATGACCTTCGGTTTTTTTATCTGTCAAATGGGGATAATGATGCCTTTCTGTGGGGTTATTGTGAGAATTTGGTGAAATGATAAAAGGGAAAGGCACAGTGCCAGGCACTCAGAAAGACAGATTTCCTTTTGTCACTGGCAATACTTGGGTTCTTTTTTTTTTTTTAAAGATTTATTTATTTTAGAGAAAGAGTGTGAAAGCATGAGCGGGGAAGAGGGGCAGAGGGAGAGGGAGAAGCAGACTCCCTGCTGAGCAGGGAGCCCGATGTGGGACTTGATCCCAGGACCCTGAGATCATGACCTGAGTGAAGGCAGACGCTTAACAGACTGAGCCACCCAGATGCCCCAATACTTGGGTTCTAATTTTTTTAAACTAATTCTCTAATGACTTTGGACAAGTCGGGCCTTAGAAGCTCATTTTTCTCATATAAAATGAGGAGTTGGGCCAAGGGTATTTCTTTTAACTATAAACTTCTTAATGAAAAGAGACCCCCCTCAATGGGGCCATCACTGACCATTTGACCTTGGCTTCCTCTTTTCTCCCTTTGCTTGTTGGGGTCACTGCAAGACCTGTGTTAGGAATCTTTGTGAGATAATAACAAATGATTTGTCCTGTACATCCCCAGGATTTATCTTCATGCATGGATACCTCCCGAAAATGTTGAGATTACTAAGTAAATAATGCATACAGATGAACCATTTAATTGTGCTTTCATGTTCTGGGCTAGTATTAGCACAAAGTTTCTGTTAGCTGGTCAGAGCTTGGATACCTTCAGGTATCAAATCCTTGTGCCTCCAGGCTCCCACACTTTGTAGGAGCCATTCAGTCAGCATTTATGCCTAAGAAAAACTGGAGACTTGAGAGTTAATGATTTGAAAGAACTTTATTGCAGAATTAAAAAAAAAAATCAGTGAGAGAGTCCCGAAATTAGGAATGTCAAACTGTAGGTTGACTATTTAAATTGCCCAGGCCTAGGATTTCCTTTGTCTCTGCCAAGGTAGAAACTTAAAAAATGACTCCATTTTATCTTTTGCATGTTAGAGTGAAGGTAGTTTCTCAAAATCCTACTTTTCCCTAAAGTACACAAGAATTAATGAGTAGCTAAAAGCACAGATTTTATGATGTATTAAGCATGATTTGTCTTCAGTAATGGGAAGAAAATTCCCTTAGAATTGTGGTTTTCTAGAATATAAAGGGGACATAACACAGAATGAAGAAAAAAAGCTTTGGAAAAGCAAGACTGTCCCTCTGAAAAGAGCGCTGAAGTGAGAAAGGAAATGGCAGTGGGAAAGGACGTGGGTGGAAGAAGATGATTCAGCCAGAGGGGGCTGGGGTGAGTACTGTGGGCTGGCCTGACTGAGTGTGAAGTAGGCGGGCAGTTATGACTAGCATTGAATGGGAGATAATTAAGAGCAAGTTGGTACCAGTAAGTGCCAGTGAAGGGAAGAGAATATGTCCAGAAAAAGCAGTTCTTTATTTTAATGCTGAATTAAAACACCTACCCATTTGGGTCTTGAGAATTTCATTTTGAAATGAAAAAGTATTTGCTGGAAACAGAATGCAGATGATTGTGAAATTTTACATGCTTTCTTCTAGTTGTCGTGGTGAAAAAGTTTCAAAATGATATAGCTGTGCTGGGTACTCTTTCGTGGAAAGAAACATATATTTTAAAATATCAGCCATTCCATAAAGGAAAAAGCATTGCTGTTCAAAGTCATGCACAACACAAGTATCAAGTTTCAATTTGGGATCAGCTACACATACATTTCTGACTCGTTTTTAAGAGAAAGGACTGAAAATGCACAGCTTCCATCATCCTTTAAATAGCTTTCTGGATTGAAGAGCATTATAATTAAACTGCACCAAGTGTCACTGTAGAGAAGCTTCTAAATTATGGGTCTGAATAGGGGCGAGAAATGCTATTTGATTGCTTGACAATCAAAACCAGAAAATGTTCACATATGCACACCCCAGACTTATTGTAATTCTATCGGATGGAGAAGTGGGAGGATTAGGTGTAGCCTTGAATTCAATAATTACTTGTTTATCTCTCTTTCAAAAATTTAAAAGAAAAACTATTCATAAATTACTCAGGAATACATATTCACAGAGTAGTCTTGTATAAGAAAAAAACATATTAGCAAGTAATCAGTCCTTTCAGTGTGTCCCAGAAATTGGTTGTGAAAACATGGCCATGTATGTCCTCAAAGTACTCTCAAAATTTGAAAACTAGTACATTGAACTCTTCAATAAGTACTTTATTTCAAACAGAATGTCAGGAGGGATGTTCATCAGGGCTCTGAAATCTACTTGTTGTACTGGTTTGCACTCCATTTCGCCCAGCTCTTTGTTTTCCGGAAGCTCTCCTTTTGCTCTTAGGGTGGGAAGGAATAGGGAGATGCTATCAGGACATTGCTCAGACAATTCAGGACCTTTCTTGCCTTTTAAAGAGGCCCAAAAGATGCCTCTCGGAAGGAAGGTGAGAATTTAATGCCATACCAGCACCTTTACAAAGTGTTTGATGCCCATTTAGGTACTGCATATAGGAACAAACATTAAACATTTGACTGGGAAACAAACTTTGGTGCCTGAAAACTGTCAGGCTGAAAATGAAGACATAGCACATTTTTCCTGATGCTTTCCCAAATGAAAACTAAGACCATAAATTATACACATCATCCTTTAAATGTATTATCTATGTAAACAAAATGATGTCATGTTCTCCAGTCTTTTGGATTGACCCTTCCTTTAACATTTAACTATGGATCTGGTTTCCATCTCAAGTGATGAGGAAAGTCCATTATCCTCTTCCAACCTTCCCTCTCCTGGGCATTTTTCACTCCAGATTCTCATTACTGGTTTTGTATACCAATTAACAATTTTTCTTTCATAGATAAATAAGTGAAATGTAGAACATATTCAAGAATAATTCAACAATTTAAGAATTGGGTTGAATGGTTCTTCCTAAAGAGGGATATTTCTAGACAATAGTATCTAGTCCCATAGAGTGAACCATTAGCCAGTCATAGAAAGACAGTTTCACTTTAGTAAGGGTAAGATATTTCTGTGGGTCAGAGATTTCCCAAGATAGCCTCAAGGGTCTGAGAATGCAGAATCCCTCATCTCTGGAGGTGTTCGGAGTATCCACTGGCTACATTAACTTGAGAATTCCTCACAGAAGTAGACCCAGAGATGAGGATCCACACGCAAGTATAGCTTATCCGGCAGGTGATCCAAGGAAAGAGTGGTAGGAAAAACAGAAGTAAGACAAGAAAAGGAAGCTGGAAGTGAATATATATGCTGTTCACACAAGAGTCCAATGGTAGAAATAGGAACTCTAATCCCACTTGGAAATTCTGGAGGCAAGTGTAAAATACTCACCTCAGTTATCCTCCCAACGAAATGAGAGAGCTGGGATGCTCTTACACAAATTTCCATGAGCTGAGGTTGAAAACTACTCCAGGAAACCATTAGTCCTCTGCCATTTTCTGCCTGCCTGGTGCTATGCTGGCAGTTGAAAGCCAGGCTGGCACACAATGAACTGCTAAGAATGAAAAGGGTATAAGTCAGGGTCTCAGTAGTATCTGTTACACTAGCTAAAAACTTGAGAAGGCTATTGTAGAAAAGAGATTGTAATATGATAACCCAGGGACTGACTCGAGAGATGTACCCAGAGATGTATATTTATTGGTTTTTCACAGTGTTGATTTTTTAAATTGAATTTGAATGACCATAGGTACTACCATATCCTCTTCAGTGTGCCTCAAGCCCTATTAATCTCTACTGCTGGTTTCACACGTTTGCATCATTTGTCTGCTCTTGGAATTTGCTGTCCAGGAGGAAATTCAAATCTGAGATGATGGGTGGGTCTGGGAAATCTTGCAGGTCACCGCCAACTGTGAAATTCTGTGATGCTACAACTAGATGATCCCTAAAATTCGTTTCAGCAATAAAGTTCTATAGATTTAATTATATGCTATCTTTTTAATTATCTTTGCAAGTTCCTTGAGGCCAGTAGTATAGGCCCATAAGTGCTCTTGACTGATTAAAATGCAATTATGCATTTCTAAATGCTAATAAATAGAGCCACATTCATATATAAATTCACTGCTACTACAGTGTTTGCACCATACAAGTGTAGCTTGACACGCATCCAAACAGATAACAAAGAGAAACAGCTCAGTATTCAGCAGGCTTGATTTAGGGTCTACAGTCATACTCCAGTATATTTGTTAAGGCAAGCATGTACATTGATGCTCACCCACTTAGTCTTAGATCACAAGGAAAGATGACCTTGGCAAACATTAGAGCTTTTGAAAATTGGCCTTGCATTATGCTAAGTGCAAGAAGCCAGACATACAAGGCTATATACTATATGATTCCATTTATATGACATTCTGGAAAAGATAAAAATATATGGATGGAAATTAAGTCCCTAGTTGCAGGGTTGGAGGTTATGGTAGAGGGAACTGACTATAAAGGGGCAAGAGGGAGCTTAGTGGGGTGATGGAAATGTCCTCTGTCTTCTTCCTGGTGGATTACACTATGGTACACATTTTGTCAAATATCATCAAACTGTACATGGAAAAAAGGGTGAATTTTACTGTATTTATATATTATACTATTTTTATTTTATAGTATAGTAATATATATAATATATATACTTTATATATATATATATTAAACCTCAGTAAATCTGACATTTTAAAAAATTGAAGAAAAAAAACAAACCTCTAGGTCCCAGCCAAACTCCTTACCTCCTGCCACATGGGAAGCTTCCCAGCATCCCTGGAAAACCAGGGGAGGCTGGACTGGATGACCTCTCAGATAAAAGCACATAGTTCCCCCAGTCCCCGAGTTACCTCTTATTTTTAGCATTCCAAATCATCTTTGTTCCTCCAACATGATGAAAACAGGTCAATGGATGAAATAAGGTTTGTTTTGTTCTTGTTCTCAACTTCCTGCAACAGTATCTGCCTTAAGTCTTTTTACCTCCAGTGTTTTTCTCTAGGCCCAATTTCAGAATTCACATTTTAGTATTTTGACATATTTGTTCCTTTACTTATTTAAAGGAGATTTAAAGGGGCTGTCTAACTTCCAAGCAAAATCCTAGGCTGTAAGAACCGTAAGTTGAGAGGAGAAATGATGTGGTTTGACTAAGCCTGAATGCCTCCAAGATTCTACTTCAGAAGCTGAAGGGCTTGTCTTCCCTGTCAAATCCATTTCTCTTTTCTTGAATTCCCTGTGCACACCACATTCCTAAAGAACCTTGTCCTAGATTCTTCCATGGGTAAGCTGTTCTCTGGGTATTGTTCCATCTGGGGCAGCTGTCAAATGCACTAATCTGGGGAGCAGGCAGCAGGATGGAGTGTCAGGTGTCATTTCCATTTCCCTAGACAAGGGAGAGTACTCATGCAGCTCCATCAGGGAATGAGGGATGATTATAAGAACCTGGGGCAGGCACCATGCACTCTATGTCTCTATTAGCCTAGAGCATCTGGCACATTCCCCAGCCTCACACTGGGTACTTGGTAACTGTCAATTATTTGACTGACTGACCTCTCTTCCTCTCTGTGGCAGGATTTCCCTCCTGAGAGCCTTGTACTCACCCCTCATAGTTCTGCTCCACATCCTGAACCTCCAGATCCAGTCCTTCCCTCCCAGCCAGCCCTAAAGTCTGTTCTAGGTATCCCTTCTTTGAGCTTTCCTAAGACCTTCTTATACCTATCATAGCCTATATCACTCTATATTTTAATTGTATCCTGATTTCTCTGCCCACCCCCTCCTGCTGTTCCTCACCAGCTCCCCCTCCAACACTAGGCTATGAGCCTGTTGAGGGCAAAGATTTTTTTTTTATTCTTGGTGTGTGTGTGTGTGTGTGTGTTCTATCTGGAACATTATAGATTCCTTATAAATGTTTGCCAATGAACCAATAAAAACTTGCTCATGCTACTTTCAGAAGTTTGCTGTATTAGTTGGAAATGATTTCAAATGCAAGTAAAAGAAAAGCTTGCTAACTTGTATTGGCTTATACAAATAGACATTTCTTTTTCTGATGTAAAAGTAGGTTTGGAGAAAAGCAGCTGCTGACCATGGTTTAGACACGCAAGAGGTCAAGGCCAGAGATTCTGTGATTTATTTGACCTTCCCTTATGGTAACAAGATGGTTTTTTAAGTGCTCAGCTTTGAGATTAAGTGAGAAGGAACTATATTAGTTTTCCACTGTTGTGTTACAGATTGCCACAAACATAGGAACTTACCACAACACAAGTTTGTCATCTCACAGTTTCTATGGGCCAGGAGTCTGGTCAGTGGTTAATGGAGTTCTCCACTCAAGGAATTACCAGACTGCAATCAAGGTGTCAGCTGACGCTGCATGTCCTCTGAGGCTCAGGGTCCTCCTTGAAGCTTGCTGACAGTTGGCAGAGTTCAGTTCCTAGGGCTGAGGCTCTCACCTCCCAGAGGCTGCTCCAAAGCAGGTCACAATTCGGCTGTTTGCTTTCCTTTAAGAGGCCAGCAGGAAATGATCTCTTTTGAAAAGCTTGCCTGATTATGTGAGGCCCACTCAGGATCATCGTCCTTTTGATTGACTCAAAGTCAACCAATTGGTAATATAATCAGGGGGGTGATATCCCATGGTTCTACATACTCAAAGGGAGGGGATCCTACAGAGCATGTACACCAAGAGGCCATCTGAGCATTCCGCCTACCACAGGAGTGATGTCATGGCTTTCATTTGAAAAGCAAATTGCTTCTTCGAGTTCCTCTTAATAGAGTTCTGCTTCTATCTCATGGGCCAGAACTACATTACATAGCCATTGCTAACTGCAAGGAAGCCTGGTAAAGAGGATATCTAGCTTTTCCAGCTTCTACAGAGAAGACAAGAAAAGGGAAGGGGCAGGGAATAGATGTTGGATTAGTCCATCAACAGACTATGTACAGTCAAATACCCTCAAAACCTTAATTATAGAATATTAGATCTGGAAGAGCACTAAAAATCATTTAGTACAGCTTTTCAATTTTCTAGATAATGAAACTGAGGTCCAGAGAACTCATGTGACTTTCTTGAAGTCACACATTATTTCCGTTGAAGCACTAGACAAAATCACCCTACCATATTCCGCTTCTCTAATAGTTTAGTTTATCAAATCTCAAAAAAAAAGAGGATATTATACAAATAAACTAATGGTAGAATGATCTCTCTTGAAGTTGATCACTGATATACCTTCCTATCACAATAAAACAGGTTTCTACCTTCTAATCATAATTTGTGAAGCAAGCAGCTCAGACAAGAGGGATGGTTGGTAAGGCATCAGTGCAGAGGGCAAGTCTGCATGAGTTCAGAGAAAGATACACTCCTGGCTCAGGAAGTCAGGGAAAGCATCAAAGAGGGCCTGGAATTTGAGATGAGCTTTAAAGAACAGATAAGGTGTAGCATGGAGAAATCAAGGAGGGCATTCCATCTAGAGGGAAACACCAAAACAGGAATAGATATGTTAAACTAGAAAAATGTACAAGGAGTACAGAGATCAACTCAACTCGACCAAGCTAGTTTCAGAGGTTGATTTATTAGTCTAGGAAAGAGGTAATGCTGACTTGAACTCGGAGGGTGACAATGGGGGTGAAAAGGATGACAGGATGGAAGGAAAGTTATATGTGCCAGTTGGACAGGTTTTCACTGAGTCTGTAAGCACATATGTAGAAAGTGAGTTTATTCACTTCCTATCCCCAGTCCCATAGCCAGTCCCTGCACATACTAAATATTCAGCGTTTTTAGTTGAATTTTTGAATGATTTGGTACAGAAGATAAAGGAAAGGATGATATTAAGAAGCACTTGAGGCTGGATTGGAGATTATGAGGAGGTGAAGAATGGCACAGAGTATGAAATTCAGTTTCAGACATGTTGAGCTCCAGGTTTAGTAGGTCACTTGGGAGAGGCACCCAAGAAACTGATGAGCCTGGAGATGTTTATTTGCAATTTGTAGCTGTGAGGGCAGAAAAAGAAGGTAGTGGAGAACTTTAGGCAATGCTTACATTTAAGAGGGAGAAGATAAGTCACAAAAGGAGAACAACTAGTTGTAGAATTGCTCAGAGAAAGAAGATTGTAGATCCAAGAAGAAAGGGAATAAGAGTGTTTAAAAATCATAACCAACAGTTATTGAACAAGACAGGTTTCAGAGAGAAAGGGGGAAGAAAGAGAGAGCAAGAGTTTTAGGAGTGAGTAGGGAAGAAGAGCTGACAACTAGTATAGTTCACTTTCAGAAGTTTTAAAGATTTTATTTTTACTTATTTGAGAGAGAGTGTGTATGTGTGAGTGCATGCATGCATGAGCAGGGGGAGGGGCAGAGGGAGAGAGAGAGAGAGAGAGAGAATCTCAAGTAGACTGAGATGAGCACAGAGGACAATGCAGAGCTCAATCCCATAACCCTGAGATCAATGACCTGAGCCAAAATCAAGAGTTGGATGCTTAACCAACTGAGCTACCCAGGCGGTTCCCAGAAGTTTTAATAATAAGAGGAAAATCAGGGATGACAGAATCAAGGGAAGATGGTTTTTGGTTTTTGGTTTTTGGGGGTTTTTTTGTTTTGTTTTGTTTTTGTTTTTGTTTTTTGCTTTTGAGAATGGGAATGACTTAGGCACTTAGCTTCTGTTTGGGGGAATGAGTTAGAGGAAAGGGGAAAGTGAATATAAAAGAGAGATCCTGCTAAGGGAGGAGGTCAGAGCATCTGGAGGGTGTTGGAAGGTGGATTCAGAGAGGAGGAAGTACTCCTTGTCTTCTGAAGCAAGAGGGAGAAAAGAGGAAAGAGAAGGAAAGGAAGGTTTTTTCCATTGCCCTGCACTAACTGGCTTTGGGCCACTTTGAAAACCTCCCTGAATCTCAGTCTTTTCATCCATAAAGTCAAACCTGGGCCTAGGCGGGCACTAGAGTGTGATAAACTCTATAATTTTGCTCTAGACATATTTCTTAGGAGTCCCTCCCCTCCCCTGCTGTCCTCAAACAATCAATTGCCAATAATGGTGATAATAGCAATAATAGCAGACACAATTTATTTCATGTCTCAAAGGACATGCCCAACTAGGATGAATTCTGAAAAGCTGCACAGTGGAAAAATCATTTGAATGTACGTTGAAGGATGGCAGGTGTATGTATGTATGTATATAAAATGTCTTAGTACAAATATCTCAAATCTTATAGGTAATGCAGTGTAATGTTTATTCTATTTCTTTCCTGAGTTCAGTCAACCCTCATCTCATTTCTTCCTGGCTTTTTGTCTGTTTCTGTGCTTAGTTTTTGAATTTATGATTCAAAATGTTTCTCATATTCCCAAATGCTTGTTTGAGGATATATAATTCAGTTTGGAGAGTTGTGTTACTGTTGGTGAGTTTTCTCCCACTTTGCCATTATTTGGGGGAGGAGTTTTATGAGTTGAATTGTTTGGATTCTTTTTGTTTTTTATTTTTTAGATTCTTTTTATTTTTATTTTAATGATTTTGCTTGGATGAAGACTGATCTGCATTTCTGTGGACGGGCTGAATGGTGGGGTGGTTACAAGATTTCTGGATCAAGAGTGCCCTCTTCTGTCAGTGTAGCAAAGTATGATTTTTTTTCTTTTTTTTTTAATTGGTTAATTATTATTTTATGGAAGATGAATGATAGGAAAAGAGATTATGCTTCCTTCTATTTTTTTAAGATTTTATTTATTTATTTTGAGAGATAGAGAGTGAGAGCAAGAGTGAGAGAGAGCAAGAGAGAGAGCATGAGCAGGGAAGAGAGACAGAGGGAGAAGCAGACTCCCTGCTGAGCAGGGAGTCCGATGCAGAACTTGATCCCAGGACCCTGGTATCATGACCTGAGCCGAAGGCAAATGCTTAACTGACTGAGCCACCCAGGTGCCCGCTTCCTTCCATTTTAGAGGGAGAGAGAATCTGACAGGTTCTTAAATTTGCCCCTCAAGTCTTTTCCCTGTACCCTGCATAATTTCTGAAAGTCACCTCTACCTTCTTTTGACCCCTCTCCCTAAAACTCTGTCTTTCCAAGACTGCCTCCTTGCACCTTACCCACATGGCTAAGTACCTTCCCTGTAGTATGTGCTCTGATCTACCAGCATTGTTTTTCAGTATTTTCAAAATTAGGGTGGACTTTCTCTTTTGGGTGGTGGCTTTAGATCAATCTTAAATCTAGCTCCCCTTTTCTATACTCTGTACGGTTTTTCTCAAACCGACTTTGTTTTCCTGAGAGGGGCTTGCATCAGGAGTGTGGGGGCAGCTTGCTGGATTCCATGTTTATTTTTCTATTTACAGTTTATGTGAAATTTGGACATTCTCTCTTTTCTAGTTATTGTGAAGACATGGGCATTATGTCGTATTATTTGATCTTCCTGTTCTTTGTGGTTTTACGTGGGGGCGGGGGAAGATGGGAGATTCAGATTTATTCCACCACTGTTATGTTGGCTACCTAGAATTCCTCCATACTGTTTACTCTAAATATAATTTGCCAAAAAGATATATAGGAATCCATTGACTCAAATTATCTCATCTTTCTCTTAAAGCTTCTGTATCAGTTAATTCAGTTGGGCTACTGGTTGAAGAGACTCCAAAGCCAATGGTTTAAACAAATTAAGGGTTTTTCTTGTGTAAAAAGAGGTAGGTGGCAGTGGGCATTGGTTCAGCAGGACAGTGATGTCAGTGTTTATATATCTGTGACATCTTAACCTTTCTCTCATGGTTGCCACAATTATAAGAGGGCTGCTCCACTTCTAGCATTAGCTCTAGAATCCAGCCTGAAAGAAGGACAGAGTACACAGGGCAAAAGGTATTTGTTAGCTATCAGCTCCATTTTAAAGATCTTTACTGAAAGCCCCATCAAAAAACTTTTGCTTATGCCTAATTGTCCAGAGCTGGGTTAATGACAACTTCTAGCTGCAAGGAAAAATGGGAAATATAGTTTTTGTTCATTTGGGGTTTTTTTGGTTTATTTTTCCTAAGTATCTTATTGCCCACAACAAAATTGGGGAGCTATTAATAAGGAAAAGGATATTGAGTAGGAAACTAACAATTCTCCTCTACAGCTCCCAAATTCCAGAGTCAGAGAGTTGCTGGTCTTGCACCATTGACCCAGAGACAATTCCCAAACCCATGACTATTGACCATCTTTGGGAGGTCCTAGGAGAAACCTATATCAGGAGAGGTAAGAGAATGACAGAGGGACTGACCAACTATGGAAAAGAGCCAGAATAAAGCAAGACTAAACATTGTCCCAGGCTGATTGACCCTTATCTCAGGAGAGGGCCAAAGAGCTAATAAATGGTTCTTTTTTAAGAAAAAAAAAAGCATTAAGGAATGCCTTAGCTTATAAACAAGGACATAGTTCTTGTCATATCTTTTCTCTTTTCTCCATTCTTTCTCTAAATGGACATAATTCTATAATGAGAAAGCTTCTTTATGAGATAAAGTCTAGTAGAAGATCATCTGTTCTCAGCATGGAAAGCTCTAATGGGCTAAAATTCATTTCCAGAATGAAACTCAGCCACCTCATCTAACACACACACACATACACTCATAGAGACTTTCATGTATGATGCCCTCATAGATACATACCTCCAGGTAATCATTAACTGAGCTACATATCCATTTGAATAACCTCATTTGCTGAAATATGTATACTACTCATTATTCTTTGGTCTTAAAGGCAAGCTACTTTTGTAGGTACCCCAATTAAGATTCATTTCAGAGAATAGGGAACTAGATAGTGAAAAATCTCCAAACCCAAAAACAA